TAATTAATTTGCAGTTTTCTTTGTAAATGTGTTTATAATGGCATTCTGGTAATTTGAAGAGCTTTCTTACTTTCCTTCTCAGCTCTCCCTGGCAATTCAGCAGATGATCTGGCAGACCCAGAACTCACCTGAGGGCAAGGCTAGTGACGATATAGGCATCTTGAGACAGAGATTAGACCTGATTGCGCTAATTTCCCCACTATGCTAGAAGATAACCCCATCAATTACTGATGGATGTATGGAGCAAAGCCTAGTGTGTGCATGAAAGACTTCATTGTTCTGGCCCTTGAACCACTAGTTATCTGTGAAAGCCTGAGTCTGCCCGTCTTTTGTGCATATCCTGGGCTTGGCTCCATTATAAAGCTCTCTTAATAAGTGTAGAGAATGGGGATTCAGGCTTAATGCTTAGTTAAATAAAAAATAAAATAGTTTTTATGTGATATGTGCGTATTTCAGATTACTTGGTTTTGTTTTGAGCAGTTCAAAAATATTTTGAATGTACTAATTGAACTTATTAGAACAGTTTTTTCAACTAATAAATACATATGTTTAAAAAAGCTAATAGAGCTTATAGTGAGATTCAGTATCCCTCTCCATTCACTGAGACAGTTTTACCTCTGATTTTAATTCTTCAGGAAGTTACCTCTGTATATCTAAATAGCATGTTTGCAATAATATATTTATTCATATACTACTTAGTACCTAAGGATTTAGCTAATGTACACAATTTCCTGCAGATACCACAGTATCTCACAGTACCATAGTGGTATTACTGCTCTTATTTCTCCACAGGTCACACTTGCTCTTCCTGGTTTTGTTACCCACGCATCATATCTTTTGACCCCGACCCATTTGGAGATGAATAAGACATGGCTGAGATGTACCTGTCCTTTCTTCAGTCTTTCCTCTTCCAATTCTAATACTCATCTTTAATAGTTTTATTTTTACTTTTGCTTTGTGAGGGTTGATTATGTTTACATTCTCACCTGCAGTCTCAGTTTTATCTGTAGGTTGCTTCTAAAAGTTGAAAACCATAACTCACTACAGAGCCACTTAGTGGACTGTGATTACACTTTCTTATCTCTACTTCCAGGACCAACTCACCTAATACTCGGAGGAAAAGTTTTCTGGTGTTTGTATGTATGTGTACATTTATATGTACACGTATACGTGTATGTGTGTGTGTATATGTATATATAAAAACAGGACCAACTCATCTAATACTCGGAGGAAAAGTTTTCTGGTGTTTGTATGTATGTGTACATTTATATGTACACGTATACGTGTGTGTGTGTGTATATGTATATATAAAAACAGGACCAACTCATCTAATACTCGGAGGAAAAGTTTTCTGGTGTTTGTATGTATGTGTACATTTATATGTACACGTATACGTGTGTGTGTGTGTATATGTATATATAAAAACAGGACCAACTCATCTAATACTCGGAGGAAAAGTTTTCTGGTGTTTGTATGTATGTGTACATTTATATGTACACATGTACGTGTATATGTGTGTGTATATGTATGTATAAAAACAGGACCAACTCATCTAATACCCGGAGGAAAAGTTTTCTGGTGTTTGTATGTATGTGTACATTTATATGTACACATGTACGTGTATATGTGTGTGTATATGTATGTATAAAAAATATAATATAAAAATTTGGGTGATTTATTTTCCCTTGAGGTTCCTGCTTGTTTTCTTTTATATTGTGGGTCCATATCATGTCTCATGTCTTAAGTTTTTCTAAGCTCTTAATCATCCTTTCTCTTCTGTTAGAACTTCTTTTCCTAGTCATAATTCTCAAAATGATTGTACTGGTACCTAGTAACAAGTGCATGAGAGATAAATATCACAAGTTCTTGCATATTTGAAAGTATCTTTAAATTGCACTGGATTGATAGTGTGGTTAGTTACCATATGTTTGGTGAAAATTATTCCTCCCAAGAATTTTGCTTCACTGTATTCTAGCATCCAGTGCTATTGATGAGAAGTTGAATTTTCATCTCTTTTTACTTTTGTATGGCTGATGTTTTCTTTCATTATCATCTCTTTATCCTCAATGTTTTAGAATTTTTTTTTTATTATGTATCTTTTTTTCCATTTTTCTTGCTTGATATTTATTAAGCTACATAATTTGAAGATTTGGATCTTCTATATATTTTTTGGCTCTGTCAAATCTTTTCATATTTATTTCTTTTAAGATGAATTTTCCTTTTGTTGTGTTGTATTTTATCTTTCCAGAAATCGTAAGTCCCTTATTAGGCCTCGTGATTTTATTTTCTCTATTTCCTTTTGTATTTCCATATCAAACCTTTTTGTACCATTTTCTATGATATTAAATCTTTTGTTCATAAGCTAAATTAGCTTCTTCAATCTTGGTAGGCTAAATAATTTTTACCATGATTTATAAGCAGGAAAAATAGAACAGATTCTAAACTTTATTAGATAGATTTAGTTATATGTTTGTGTCTCTTATTATGACTTTCTTTGTTATCTGTATTTTCTAAGTCTGTGTTTATATTAATAGGAACTAGAAAATGAATTTTTAATTTATTGAAGGGAAAATATGATTGAACTAGGTTCTTTATGACTGTGACAATTTTACATATTTAGAGAATAATTACAGAAGTTCTAATATCATATTTACATGTATAACTTCTCACTTATAAAATACTTAAAAACTAAAGAAATGTTGGATTTTAGAAGACAGTGGGTTTGTAACTCTTGTCTTCCTAACAGATGGTGTAGCCATCAGCCTCAGTAGGCCTTGAACAGAATAAAGAATCAGCAGATTTAAGAGCTCTCAGAGAGCTGTAAATGCTCGGTTTTTTCTGTTTTCAAGATTTATACAGCTCACATTCTCTTCTCTATCTTCATTAAACTTTTGCAAATTTGGGGTTGTGGTGACTGATAGAGGAAGCATTCATGTAGACCTAATTTTGCAAAAGTAAGAAAAATTGGGTAATTTTATATAATCTGTATTGCAAAATATTTTTAAGTGGTTCTGTGTATCATTATAAAATATATTTTGAAAAATAGTTTTTGTACAACTTGGATTAATCACTTTTGATTTATTGAACTTTTTAAATGGAGTGAAGCTAGTAAACTTAAACTACAATTCTTGTCTTGTTAATTCCTTCCCTGTGTTATTACAACGAGGGCTCTAATTTGTGATGTTAAGCAGTTCATTGCAAATCTCTTGGGTGGTTGGCATGTTTTATACATTTTAAGTATGTTATAACTTGCCTAAAAGATAGAATTTCTTAAAACTGTGAATGTTAAGATTGACTCTGTGATTTTGGGTGAATACTTCATTCTATATAATAAAACAAGGCAATGCATTAAAGGGCGCCAGTACCTGTAACATATACCTTGGTTAATACACAGGAGCCACATAACCTCATTCTCTTTGTATTTCTCTCTCTTTTACCTGATTCTTCTAGACCTCTACATTTAAAATAACAACAGTGACCGCCATGTGCTGGCTGTTCTTTACAATAGTCTTATTTCTTATATAAATTGCTCTGTTTAGGAAGAGTGAGCTCACAGTGTTGGTAGATTTATTACAACACAGCAATAACAACTTCGTAGTCATAAAAGACATTGAATATTGAAGTAAGAGGTTTAATTTATAATGATGTATATAAATGTCCTTGAAAAGAAGTGTGAATAGAAATAACCTTGTTAGTGTAATTATGCCTTTAACTTGTGAATTCCTTTACCTTCCTGAAGAGTAAGTTAAAATATCCATCTTCTCTTGGTGATGGGGAGGGTGAGAGAAGAGACACACACACACATCTTATGGTTAGAGGTCAACTTGGAATATGTTTTGAACATATCTTTCCTGTTGGCTCTTAGATTTCTTTGCTGTCTTTTACTTTGCTCTCTCTTATGGCCTGTTTTTTTCTTTTTTTTTTTTGGTCTCGCTCTGTCACCCAGGCTGGAGTGTGGTGGCCGGATCTCAGCTCACTGCAAGCTCCGCCTCCCGGGTTTAGCCATTCTCCTGTCTCAGCCTCCCGAGTAGCTGGGACTACAGGCGCCCGCCACTTCGCCCGGCGAGTTTTTTTTTTTTTGTATTTTTTAGTAGAGACGGAGTTTCACCGTGTTAGCCAGGATGGTCTTGATCTCCTGACCTCGTGATCTGCCTGTCTCGGCCTCCCAAAGTGCTGGGATTACAGGCTTGAGCCACCACGCCCGGCTATGGCCTGTTTTAAAATCTTAACTTTATTATAATTTCCCAGAAAGTAGAAATACTTACAAACTGATGATAGAATTATTTGCAAACTTCAAACCTATCCTCATTGGTTGCTTTTTGCTATTAGATATTCCAGGAAAAGTAGTAAGTGACAGTGCAAAAAATTGTTTGGGAAAAATGCAAAGAGAAATATTGTGTAATAGCAGATTCTTTTCAGCCTCCTGGTGGCAGTTCATGTGTGTGTGTGTGTGTGTATGTACATGTGTGTTTTTTTCCTTGTCAGGATTAATTCAGTGGGAAGTAATGTGGCAGGTTTTGCCATATAGATATTGATGGACCTTTTTATTTTACCTGGCTTAGTGATATGTATAAAAAATAATTCTGAACATAATATATGAACCACCTTGTTTCATATATTTTAACACCTATTATTTTACTATTATATGTAGGTTGAAAAATACTGCTTTTGTTGTGTTTTTGACTCAAGTATATGATTTCTTGGTTGAAGCTGATCATTCCATGGAAACATTCTAAATGAAATGGCCCCTCGAGAGAGAGATCAGCTTTGTCCCTTCACGGGAGTGTTTAGGCAGCAAAGACCTAGAGTATTATGGAAGAATTTGTCCTAGGTCAGGCTGCTATAGTTATAAAAACTCTGTTTTGTAAGGATGAAAACAGAGTGGAAGGAGATGGGAGTATCTGGGACCCATTCGTTTTCTCGAGAGGAGACAATGGATCTTTTTAAGGAAATTGTTGGATAAATCAGTGTCTCCTTCTTCTTTCCTTCTTTTCCTACAGGGGCCCTGTGTCCACGATGAGGACTCTGGCCTATCGCTCATTGGAAAACCTGCCCTTCAGGCTCTTTTATATCATTGCCATTTTTATGAACATTTGAATCAGATGGTAAAACGTTGTTACCTAGGACGGTGTATGTTTGATTTGAATTTTTCTGCTTTTGATAGAAATTTAGAAGGCAGTGATTTAAATGGTAAGTACAATATCTTTATGTTTTGATTTTTGTAATATGTAACTTTTAAAAACTTAAAAATACATATATTTGTTTTAAAAATTTGAAAAATGAAAGTATACGGGGAGAACATTGATTTCCAGTTCCACCGCCCAGAGAGGTTTTTCTTCCGGTCTTTTCTCTCTGTCTAGCCTTTGTTTGTTTTATGTGATTATGTTTATATCTTATGTACATTTTTGTATTTCCTTCTTTCACTGAATATTCTGCAAGCATTTTTCTGTATTATAAATTCTTCATGGAAATTACTTTTGACATCTTATTAATATTTTATAAGTTATATTATGCCCATCAGTACAGTTTTATAGTTTCTTTCTCTATTAATGTCTTAAACTTTTTTGGAACTTTCACTTCTAGACAATGTACAGTTTTTTCATCCTTCTTATGAATGAGACTTTTTCCCACTACCTGTTCTAATTCATTTTGCTCATGTATCAAAAAGTTATTTATTTTAGTATGTTACTTATTTGTCACAATAGTTTCCTGAAACCTTTTTATTCCTTTTGTTTGTAGGTTCTCGTAGATTTGCCAAGTATAAGATCTGAGCACATAAAAATAATTATATCTCATAATAAATAGTAATTTAATAATATAAATAGCTTTTATTTTAAAATTCATTTTCATAATAATTTTTTAGAATCTTGCCATAGTTTCCAACTTACAGAAAAGCTTCAGGAATAGTACAAAAAATTTCTCAAATCTTAACATTTTACTGTATTTACATCCTACCACGTGTGTGTGTGTGTATAAATAAACAGATATGTATGATCTATATATATTCCTTCTGAGCCATTTAAGAGTAAGTTGAAGACATGAAGTTCCTTTATCCCCAAATTGTTAAGTGTGAATTTATGATTCACTTTTCTGTTTAGTTCTTGGAGGAATCAAGAAAATGAGATTTGATGAAGTTTTGAACATTTTAAATATCCCTATTAGAACAGTGACTCACTTAATTGTTTAGATTTCTCTGAATCAGTTACTCAGAGCATGGCCTTTAAACTAACGGCATTGGCCTCTTCTGTGAACTTGTTAGAAGTGCACGCTCAGGGCTTCCACTCTGAGCTGGGGTATTGGAGCCTCTGGGACTGGGGCTGAAGTAGCTGCCTTAGCAAGCTCTCAGTGATTCTTACGTACATTAAAAAACCTCTTTCCTTAGATTTGGTTTTGTTTTTTTTTTAATAATGGTCTATCTCAGAAGCCAGATCCATATAAGTTTTTTCTTTCTTTAGTTTTGAATTGGTGTCCTGTAATGAGTACTCTTTTAGTTAATTGTTACAGTTCCCAGGAGGGTGTCCATGTTAACAGTTTTCTTGTTGTTGCAGGTTTAGATGACTCATTCAAGTTTTGGAGGGCTCCATCTAGGATATGTCAGGATCGAGATCCAAGTTCTCTCTCCACCTCAGAAACAACGGTACTTGCAAAGAATGCATACGTCCTTCATTTTGAATCTCTGAAAAAATTTGAATTTGCGTAGTGGGAGAGATAATACAAAGTGTAAGGTTATAACAGCTGTGATTTATTCGAAGTGCTGCCTGCAGAATTTTGCTAAATTATTGTATTCAACCTGCACGCCAGCCATACATCATAGATACTTACCTTGCTTTTCTGTGTGCTCAAGCCACTCTGAAGTAAAGAAACTCTGTGATCATTAGTGCTATAGGGAGCAGAACTGGAGTTTGAACCAGGGTGTGCCTTGCTACAGTATAGCTACACTGAGTATCCCTTTAGTTGAGAATTTTCAACCTCTCTTTCTTACCTTTTTTGATAGTACAAAAGTGTGAAAATGTGTTTATCATTAGTATTACAAGAGAACAAATCCCACATGATTAAAAATGGTTGATTACCCTGAAATTGTGCCTAAGGGCAGGGCAATATGAAGAACATTCAAATGATTCTAGTGTGGTGCTGACAACTTTAAACACACTTCTAAATACTTGCATCACATAGAAGTTTATCTGGAATACCTGACATTTATATATGCCTGTCTGCATGCCTTCTTTCCTGCCCCTTTCATTCATGCATTAGTTGCTTTTTTTGCAGACAAGTTTGAAACACTGGGTATTTATAAGGCATGATTGATACTAGGTTTCAGTTATTTACAAACATACAGAATCATTTATTCTCAACTGGGAAACATTACCTTTCATTTTAAAGTGTTTTTTGGAATAATTACTGTGTTATACAACATATCAGGAAGGCAAAGCTTTGATGCACCTGTTTCCAGGAACAAAAATAATATGAGAATAATAATTATTTTACAGACATTATAATGTAAAGATTATGTTTAATCTATCTCCTAGTTTCTCAAAAGACTGATACTTTTTGCTACAGTTTTAAGTCTTTTTTCCCCTAGATTCAAGAGAAGTATTTGTGTTTAGTGCTACATTGGACCTTCATATGGAAAAGTAAGATAATTACCCGAGTTCCACTAGATGTCATGCTTTCCTTTCCAAGGTGGAGATAGTATGTACCTTTGTCTCAACAAGAGCAATAATATGATAAATGCCAAAGTGAATTTTATTAATTGGTTATTTAGTTCATAGAAGGACAGCACGAATGTGTGCTTAAAAGTAAATTTTGTTTGGTTAGCCTATTTGTCAAAAGGGCTATAGACTAGCCTTGAAATTTGGATACCTACTTCAGTTTTTTGCTTTTAGTGGGAACTCAGTAAATAATAATTGCTGTAATTAACTTTGAGTTATCTTAGCTGTTTTGTGGTTAGCACTCAAGTTGTATTTGTCCTATACAAGAAAACCTAAATACAAAAAGCAAAAGCATATCAACCTTTTGAATTTCTCTATTTTATAATAATACGTAAATCTTACAGGTTAGAATACTAGATTCTCTGAGAAAATTTGGAAATATGTTATTTATTGTAGTCATTATTAAAGAAAGAAGCACCCCGATTAAAGTTAAGGTCTTTAACTTGTTTGTGTTTGGATGTAACACAGACTTTTAGAAATACATACCAATGGAATCTTTTGTTGTTTTTTTTTAAGAATTTTGTAATATGTGTAAAATTTATTTCTTATTATTTTCCTTAAAGACTAGTATATTCTGTTAGAATTTTTACAGAGTCTACTTATTACTTTCTTTTTTGGGGGATTTCAAACAGAATTTTTAGAATGGGTGACTTTTATTTACAAAAATAGTCTTAGTACCCTAATTCTACTAGTTGTTATATTTTCTTTACCATACCCGGGATGATGTGTATCTTTGTCCCAACAGGAGAAAAATCTGGAGAGTGTTTTCATTATGACATTATTACTTTAAACCAAAGCTGTCAGTACTTAGACCAAATCATACTTTCTTATGTATAAGAAAATGTTGAAGTTACAAATTGAGGTATGAGTTGAGTGGATGTAAATCTTATTAATCAGCTTATCTACTTATTTAATCTTTGTTTTGTTTATCTCAGAATTGAGAAAAAAATGCAGTATTTTATTGGTTGGTTGACTGGTTTTTCCATTTTGTCTTTCCAAGGAAAACATCATCTTTTGATTTGGGTTGTGTCATCCAGCATGCTGCTTCTGGGTCACTATCCATTTTGTGCTGTTAATGCCAAGTTAGGGACTTTCGTGCTGTTACCTAATGTTTAGTTCAGTTGTTTGGCAAGCTTTGTAAGGATTGTTGGGTCCTGTATGTTTTATCAACTGCAGATAGAGTAAGCAGAGTGTCATTGTTAGCTTGGGGGCATCGCCCTTGTAAATGCTTCCTCAGGAGTGGCCTCTATCGAACTCGGTGTTCTCTTCCTCTGGGGTAGGAGGATTCAGCCATTAGGTGCTGTTTTTCTTCTTGAAATCACATTTATATCCAAGACGGATAGCTGTTTGTGCCTCTTATACACCTGTGTGCAGCAACAGCTTTATGACCAAAATTTGCTCTTTTCTGTTGTTCCTTAGCAGAACTATGTCTGTATTTTTTTTTTAACTTATCAATTGTCAAAATAAAATATGTGGGAAATGTAATTTCTTTCTTTTTGAGCCTTTCTTTGTGAAATATGTGATACTTTCAAACTTTTTCTGGAGCACAGATTTAAAGAAAACTGATGTTAGTTTTTCTAAACATTTAAAGAGAATTTTTACACTTCATAGTCTTAAAAAAACTGAAAAGCATTGCCACTATTTTGCAAAAGAGGAAATTAGGGCATGGAAATTAGGGCACTCCATGGAGTGGATGCTTGTTCAAGTTCCTAGCATGGTAACTGGTAGACCATTCTTTTGAGTCCAGAAGTATGTTTGCTTCGTCCTTCACTCTAAGGCCAGATGTGATTGATCCCATAAAAGATGGTCTAGTCAAGGGACAGTGAGGTTTCTTTAGAAGGAATGATGAAACGAAAAGTGATTTTGTGTAGGACGTGGCAACTGAAATGGGCTTTTCAAATATTATCGCCTTCTCGTTTATGTGCATACACACATTTGCAAGGGGCTGAAAAGATTCAGATATTCTTTAGGATTCAGTGACCACTTAACAAATGACGAAAGTCTACTTGAGAACATAAAGCATACTTAAATATGTATGCTTTAGAAAGTAACTAAATGTGAAGTTGTGTGTACTGAAGGCATTAACATCCAGAAAATGCAAGAGGTTGTTTGGAGTAGAATGTGGGATGGAAAGCTAAAGTTTGAGGACCTGACTAATCAGATAGGAGTTAGTTAAGAAAGCTGAATCAATTTTTGGATTTGAAGAGGTAGGATATAATAGCCATAAAGATAAAGACATAACGATATTTCAGCAGCGTGGAATGGCATGAAACATGACAACTGATATGACAGAAATAACCTATTGACACTCATTTGGTGGTAGTTAAAATTGTTTTATAGAAGGAAGAGTAGACAGAGAACAGTTTAAGCAGGGATGGATCCAAAAGACTTTCTAAAAGAAAAATAGTTTTGACACAGGCATCACTGATAGGACATATAAATACCTGCAGCATGGTGACTGCAGGAAAACTGGAGGAGGTGGCAGTTTGTGTGATGATGGAGAGAGAATGAAAATGTTATACTCTGTTTAAATAAATTTCAGCTACCTGTGGATTATCCAGAGTCTTAACAACCTTGTATATTTAGTTAGGAGGAAAATACAAATGAGACAAGCTCTTGGAAATTTGTGCACTTAGGTTACACACAGGACGGCACAGGGACTGTGACTGTGTTGTGATGATAATCTGTCTCTTTAAGTGGTCCTTCAGTTAGTCATGCAAGAATCGTCTATCTTCTGCTCATTCCTTCAGAGGAACTTTCTGAGCTTTCTTTTTTTTAAGTATATTGTACATAATCCATTTGAATTGTGAATCTATTAGTTGAAATAATTTAAACTTCTTGTTATAATTTGGTTAGAATTAATTATTACAAGTTAAGAAGCATGCCAAAGCTTTCCTGCTCTTGGGCATATAGAGAAAGGTATTATTTATTAAAATGAACACATGGAACTTAGAATCTCTTAGAAACCCTTCATATCTTGTATTTTTCCAAATTTTCAAAACGTGGCTAGACTTGCACTTTATTTTTTTCACACTACAATCCTTATTTTCTCCCTTAGTACCTTTTTAAAAACAATTAAATAAACTGTTTTGGCACCAGTACTGCTTTTGAGGGAAGATGATGAAACTATTATAAGATCATTTTGACAAATACAATATTCAAGTTCTGAATTAACTTTCAGAAAGTGTTAAAGTGTCCAGTGAAATCACTTGTTTCTGTAAGGCAGATACAAAGAAAATCACTTTTGTACATTGATGCATTTTTGCTTATATGACAGAAATCGTTTTTTACACTGCAATTCTACTTGGATATGGCAAATGACTTTGCTATTTTCAGTGATTTCAAAGGGACTTTCTTAATTTTAGCTGCTTATTTTACACTGAAGCATAATTTAGAAACCTTCTTTAGTTACCAAATCTGCTTACAAACACACTGAAGACAATTTTTTTTTTGGTTTTTATATGCAAGATTTGAGTTCGTTTTATTTGTTATTTTCCCTAGTTTTGAGCTAAAATGACAAATAAAATTGTATATATTTGAGATATACAGTGAGATTATTTGATATATGTATATGTGATGAAATGATTACCACAGTCAAATTAGTTAACACATCTGTCACCTTAGAGTTAACACTTTTTTTTTGTGGCGAGAACACTTATGATCTACTCTCTTAAGAAATTTCAAGTAGACTGTGCAGTATTATTAACCATATTCACCGTGCTACACATTAGATCCCCAGAACATACTTACCTTATCTGAAAGTTTGTACTGTTTGACCAGACATCTCCCCTTTTCCCCAGCTCCTATCCCCTAGCAACATCCATGACATGAATCTGAGTCTGTTTGACGACACTACCTTAAAGTAGCATCAACCAGCTCTAAAAAGCTTGGGTTGTCTTTTGTAATAGCTGTAAAGTGATAAGGCTAGAAATATATTCAAATTCAGGGTTCTTTTTTGTCTTATTGAGGGATTATACATTGAAGATCTCAGGATATGTCATGTGGCAGATGTGAAAGCGAGGGAAAAGTCTAGATTGTGATTTTGCCCTTAGCCCATTTTAATGAATTGAGCGAGTGATAGATACAAGAATTAGACTCTCGCTGTTGTAAGAGGACAACCCTAGTTATCCTACTTACTGTGAGGTAGAGAGCAGCAAGAAGCTTGACAGGAAGGGATGACTTAAGCAGACTCAGTTTGCTCTTAAACTAAGCCAGTTCCTCTTCCTTCACTGGGATGGGGCAGGTGAAGTTAATCTAGCTGAAGTTCCACGGGGACACGGGGGATTAGGGAGAAAGAAGCAAGCCTCTCCTCTCAAAGAAGTCTGGCCAGCTTTCTGAAGAGGTACATCTGAGGACTTGCTCTGATTTTAACGCATTTATGCTGTCATGAATGCAGTCCTGGACTGAGAATCCTAATCAGTCTCAACTCGGACAAATCCATTAACTTGTGGTCTTTTCTCTAAAGGAGGACGTGGAGTAGATCAGGCTTTTTCTACCTATAGCTTCATAGGCTCATACTGAACCTTCCAGTAGCTAATACTTGAATGCCGAAATTGTCTAGTTATTACCTGGATTTTAAGGTGAAAAGTAACGTATTTGTATATCGATGTACTTTATCAAATGTAACCAAATACTATCTATTGGAGATTGTTTGTAATCAAGGATTTGAGCATAGAACTGGGACAATTTGCTTTAATACTTTTTTGCTTTTACGTATTAAAATGACAATGTTAATTTAGCAAACTTAAAAAATAGAGGCTAGTACACATATAAATCATCTATAATCAATTTTAAAGCACCATATAAAGCAATCATTGTGTTTCCCCAACTACATGGGGTAAGTTATAATGCAACTATAAGGTACTTTCTAAAAGCATCTTTTCTAAGCTTGTGTATCCCTTCTGTGGACTATACTAAGGAAAGTCGCATCTTTATTCATGCCTCACCTTTGTCATGAATCACAACTTTGCTTTCTTCTAATGAGCCACGTATTTAGTGGGACCTTATAAGCTTTCTTTTCCCACACTGATCGTTGAAACTGCAAACCAGGTACCTACTTCTATTTATATCATTAATAAGGCCTTCTTGAGTCTTTATCAATTGAAAGAATGTTCAGTGAAATGATGAATGATTTCAGCATCATTATCCCCTTAACTTTTCTTATACAACCAAAAGAGTTGTGGCAGAAACCAGATATATTAGTTTGTACATAGTTTGTGTTAGCAGTCTTGGCATAGGATTATTTTCTTCACAGAACTGTAAATGTCTTGATATCTGTTGACAGGAACATTTTTTCACATACCTCTCATTGCCAATTGTAGGCAAATATAATTTTAAAAGCAAACAAGCTTTAGGTTATTTTTACCTAGTATCTGGATCTAATATTGTATAAAATAAGGCATTTAATGTTTGTTTATGATTGACTTGTTTAGACTGAACTTTTTTCCAGAGTTACTTTTTAGATTACTTTATGTGCTTAGCTTACATTTTTTAGCTGCAGCTTTCTCACTTATTCCTTGGCATCATGACTGTTATACTTACTTAATATGATGAAAGATGGTTAAGGGCTCAAGTTAAAAGGGGAATTTAAAAAACTGTATATTCCATTTTTAGTAATTCTTCAAATTTATATTCTCTTTACTATTAGAAACTGCAAATGAAAATAACCTTAGTTTTTGCTTTCATTTCATCATGGTAACTCTAAGGTACTCTAAGTGTTAAGATATATACACAATCAGTGTACAAATACTGTGAGCTATATAGGATCTGAGTCTGGAATGATGGTTTATAACTTCTATGGATAGCTAATGTTGTGTTGCATGCATTGATATGGAGGCTACTCAGGTATGGGCACTTCATAATATTTCACAGAAGAGAAATTGATGGTAAGGAAAAGAGTTATCTGACCTCACTACGTAAGTATTTTTCATCTAAGAGGTGCCAAACACATCGCTTTGTGCTTTTTCAGTCTTAGAAGGTCGGTCTGCTCGTTATAAACCTGTAGGTGAAATTGTACTTGCTTTCCACAGATTTTGTTATGTTTAATGTTGTATTCTGAAGCAATCTCAGCATATTAGCACAATTTTTTAGTGTTCTTCCTTGATATGAGATGAAGTAGAGAAAAATCTTTTAATACTTCTAATTTTTTAGGCACTATTAAAATTTATGTGTGCCATTTGGAACATTAAAAATATCTTTATTATGAATCAAGAAATGCAAAATATCACAATGAATTATAGTTAAGGTGGTATATTTTAGCCTTTCTAACATTTGGGCAATGAGGGAATTGGCCTTATGGGAACCTTAAACTCCTAAATGGGCCTCAAGTCAATACTTTGCTTCTTTGAGTTACTGATTTATGTAAATGATAACAATTCCTTTAAGAAGAAGTGGAAATGCCATTTAAAAAAACTGCTGTAACTCCCAAGATATGGAATCTTTTCTAGTTATCCTGACTAGTATAATTTTGTTATCAACCTCCTTGTTTAAGGATATCTTGTGTGTATGTTGCCTGTGTTTCATTTTCCATACTGTAACATTAATAAGTAAAATAATTTACTGATTCATAGGTGGCACCTTCATTGGAGAGTACTGAATTTCAGCCACTTGTGCAGTCAACAACACTTGTGCCTGAAGCTTCCCATGACCAGTTTGTGGTTCAAGGTATCTTTTTAGCAAAGACATTCTACCTTCAAAAAGAAAAATGACAACTTGGTCCAGACAGATATTTTGAAAGTAAATGTCTGAAGAACAAAATTTTAATGAAATAAGTTATAGACCGTTACGAAATACATTTAGAACCAATATATCAGAAATTAATAAAACAAATGCTCTTAACTAATAAATGGAATTTGACTATCAAATAAATAGCCCATTTCACATATGGCTCCTTATTAGGTTCTTATAGGTATTTGACATTTGAATTTGGGAACTGATGGGTGTAACTTAACTTTATTTTTTCCCTTCTTTTGAGAAAACACTTTTACTACAAGTAATCCACTTGAAAGTAAAGAGATTCTGGTCTTAAGTATTTTCTAAGGCTGTGCTTCCATTTAAAGGCACGTAAAATGTATTGAGTCTTTATTTTATTAGAAATGCGCAATACACAATTTGGGACTTATTTTTATTAATGGCAATATATAAATTTTGCTCCTTGTACTGGGAACTGCTTCCAACCCTGCTGTGCTTCAAATTTGCAACTTTGCTTTTTTTTTTTTTAATTTCTAGAGAGTATATAAGCCTTATTCAGTAGCATTAAATGCCTGACTTGAAAGGACTATACTACCTAAAAAGAAAGTAATTTTAAACACTGGCATACATATAAGTATATGCAGAAAGAATGCTTTCTAAAACATTTAGAAAAACTTGCTGAATTAAAACTTTGAACTTTCCTTACAATATTTCTTCCAATAATTTCCTAAACAGTGTTCCATTTTGGTTTTTAGTAATTCACGTTCACTATATATAAAATTATTTAACTGTAGAAAATACTCATTTGATCTTCTTAAGAACAAAAGGAGCAAACTCAGTTTATTTAAATGGGTAAGGACATAGGGCATGAAATGAAATTTGATCATGAATTTCATGTACATTTATCTCTAAAAGCATGTTGCCTTATTCTTATTAATAACAGCTTTATTGAGATATAATTCACATACCATATAATTCACTTGTTAAAAGTGTATAGTTTATTGGTTTTAAGTATATTCAGAGTTGTGCAACTGTCACCATGATCAATTTTAGGACATTTCCATTATCCCGCAAAAAAAACCTATGCCTGTTATCAGTCACTCCCAGTCTCCCCCATTCTTGGCACTCTACGGAATCACTAATCTACTTTCCTTCTTTATAGATTTGCCCGTTTTGGACATTTTGTATAAATGGAATCATATAACATGTGGTCTTGTGTGACTGGCTTCTTTCACTTAGTGTGCTGTTTTCAAGGTTCATCCATGTTCTAGCATGTATCAGAACTTCATTTATTTATTGACGAATAATGTTCCATTGTATGTATATATTACATTTTCCCATTCATCATGTGATATAGGCATTTGTGTGGACATACAGGCTTTCTGTTTTTTGTTTGGATTACCCTTGATTTTAAATTTATTTTATTATTTTTATTTTTATTTTTATTTTTTTAGGCAGTCTCACTCTCTTGCCCAGGCTGGAGTGCAGTGGTGTGATCTTGGCTCACTGCAGCCTCTGCCTCCTGGGTTCAAGTGATTCTTCTGCCTCAGCCTCCTGAGTAGCTGGGATTACAGAGGTGCAGTGCCACACCTGGCTAATTTTTGTATTTTTTGTAGAGCCTGGGTTTCACCATGTTGTCCGGGCTGGTCTCGAACCCCTGACCTCAGGTGATCTACCTGCCTTAGCCTCCCAAAGTTCTGGAATTACAGACTGAGCCACCATGCCCGTCCACAAATAGTATGCTTTAAATGTATATTTATGCAGTTTCACTGTTTGCCAATCATTTCAGCACATATATATGACCAAAAAAAAAAAACAAAGAAAAAGAAAAGAAAGCATATAGAAGAAAGAATACCCACAGAAAGGGGAGGCGTGAACAGAGGATTAATCCTCACAATTTTGTGGTGATACATGACACTGTCAGGTATATTTCTTTTTTTTCAAAACCTGGAAATAAGATATCAGGGCATCAAATGTCCTCCTTAGTTTTACAAAATAAATTAGCAAGAAAATTGAAAAAAGATATATCAATTTATATTCTGAATTAGCCGTCTTTATGGAAAAATTCAAAAAAGATTTCTATATGCTTGCTCTAGAAGTGCTGAAGATATGTAATACATATTTTATGAATACCGAAAGATTTCCCTTGAAATCATTTGGACAATTTTCATTAGAATTATCTCAATTTAATTTTTTCCACTTTTATTTCCAAAGATTTATTATTATTTTTTAAGAGACAGGGTCTAGCTCTGTCACCCAGGCTGCAGTGCAGTGGCATGGTCATAGCTCATTGTAGTCTCGAATGCCTGGACTCAAGTAATCCTCCTGCCTCAGCTTCCCAAATGGCTGGGATTACAGGCGTAATATTTGAGGGGGAAAGAACACAAACCTGCATGTAAAAGTGAGCAGAAAACATGAAAAGATAATTCACAAAGGACCTAAAAGTAGCCTTTATCTTTGGATAAATATTATACAAATTAATTCTACCCGAAGATACTTTTTTATTTATTAAATTGCCAACAATTAAGTATTGGCAGTACATTCTGTTGGCGAGGCTGTGGAAAATGAGCACTTTCATACATTGTTAGAGAAAATGCAAATTAGTATAATTTTGGAAGGGAATTTGGCAATAGATAACAGAACTATGTATTTACCTTTGATTAAACAATTCCACTTCTAGGAATTCTCTTTTATTTATCTCCAGCAATATAAAAATATATATGCACTTGATAATTTAGCAAGCATTGTTTGTAATTATAAAACACAGAAACAACACAAGTGCCTGTAAGTAGGATAGTTTTTAATAAATGTATAACAATATCCAGATAATGATAAACATATAATAAAATTATTTATAAATTTATTTTTAAAATAACAATGGAGAACTACAGCTATTAGAAAGAGGGGGCTGGGCACAGCAGCTCACACCTATAATCCTAGAACTTTGGGAGGCTGAGGTGGGAGGGTCACTTTGGGCCATGAGTTTGAGACCAGCCTGGCCAATATAGTGAGACCATATCTCTACAAAATATAAAATAAATTAGCCGGGCATGGTGGTACACACTGTGGTCTCAGCTAGTCAGGAGGCTGAGGTGGGAGGATCACTTGAGCCCAGGCTTTGAGGCTTCAGTGAGTCATGATTGCACCACTAGACTCTAGCCTGGGCAACACAGTGAGACCCTTTCTCAAAAAAAAAAAAAAAAAAAAAAAGGAAGGGAGGATATCTTCAAACAGATATGGAACAAATTTTAGGAAATATTGTCAAGTGAAGAAAGAAGCACAATGATAAAAGAGTATGTATAGTTTATGATATTTACAGTTTTCTACTTTTGCATATGAAAGAAGGGGAAATTTAAAATACATGTATCTATTTGTATAGAAAGAAAACAGGAAGGCACCGCTGGAAATGAATGAGATTAATTATGAGAATGGGTGGGAGTTAGGTAGGAAATAAGAGAGAATGGGAACAGTGTAGAAGAGATTGAGGGGTGGGGTAGTGACCCTTCTTTGCATGTATTTTCTTGTATAGGTTGACTTATAACCACGTATGTTTTACTTGCTGAAAAGAAAAATAAAATCAACAAAAATGGGAAACGATAACATGGAATACAAACAAATTAATCCAGTTATATTTCACATGAATAGCGTTGAAGTGAGAGAGGAAGTAACCCCAGTAACTCTCAGACATATTCTTAGGACTTTAGTTCTCAGACTAATGGCAAAAAGAACTGTAACCAAGCATTGAACTCTAGTTACTAGTTTTATTTTTTGCAGTATTATTAGTTAGAAATTCCGAAACTGCTTAATGTGTTTGTAAGGCAAGGCAAATAAATAAATGTATTGTATGTAGATAATGAAAGCCAGATTTTTTACTTTCACATAAGGGAAATTACAAATATGGAAGGAGGAAGGTGTTTAATGTTGGATTATATTTGGAGTATTGGATTATATTTGGAGCTTTCAGTATGAATCAATTATTTTGTTTTTTAAGAGATGGGGTCTCGCTCTGCCATCCAGGCTGGAGTGCCGTGCTGTGATCATAGTTCACTGCAGTTGCGACCTCCTGGGCTGAAGCGATCCTCCCACCTCATCCCCTAAGTAGCCAGGATTAAAGGAATGTGCCACCATGCCTGGTTAATTTTTAAATCTTTTTGTAGAGAAAGGTTTCTCTATGTTACTCAGGCTGATCTTGAACTCCTTGCCTGAAGTGATCCTCCTGCCCCAGCCTCACAAAATTCTGGAATTACAGGCAAATGATTTTTAATTCATAGAAAAAATATGTGTTTATGTGCCCAGGGGTACGTATGTGCATGCATACATATATACACACACATTTTCTAGCTTAGAAACAATGACACGCCAAATAGCAATGTATACATTTAGTGCCCAAATCTTGTTTTCCAAACTCCGTTCTCCACTTTAGGGAATTGACACTTTGGAACAAATATCCAATTTTAGAGCTTGGGCTAGGAAAGAACAAGATGAACCTGGAACATCTTGCTGTGCCAGAAAGTAAGGGAAATGCTCAAAGGTTAATGGAGGTGTTAACTAATGTAGGTGCAGGTACCTTATTACTGTTCTAAAGTCTGAAAGTATTTTGGAGAAAAGGGAGCTCTCATACAGTGTTGTTGGGAACCACTGTGGAGAACAGAATGCAGGTTCCTCAAAAACTAAAAATAGAACCTACCCTCTCTGATCCAGCAATCCAGCTGCTGAGTATATATCCAAAAGAAAAAAAAAAGCATATCGACGAGATAGCTGCACTCCCATGTTGATTGCAACACCATTCATAATAGCCAAGATAAGGAATTAGTCTAAGTTCCGTAAGCAAATGAATGGATAAAGAAAATGAACCATATATGTACACAATGAAATATTACTCAGACAGAGAAAAGAATGAAGTCCTGTCATTTGCAGCAACAAGGGTGGAACTGGAGGCCATTGTGTTAAGTGAAATAACCCAGGCACAGAAAGACAAATATTGCAGCTCATATTTGGGAACTAAAAAAAAAAGTTGAACTCATGAAGAAGATAGAGAGTAGAATGAGGGTTACCAGAGGCCAAAGCGTGGAGAGCCAGGGATAAAGACGGGATGGTTAGTGGGTACAAAATACGGTTAGGAGGAATAAGATCTAGTGTTCAGTAGCACAACAAGGTAACTACAGTTAACAGTAATTTATTGTATATTTCAAAATAACTAAAAGAGTGGCGTTGGAATGTTCCCAACACAAAGAAATGATAAATGTTTGAGGTGATGGATGTCCCAGTTACCTTGATTTGAGCATTGTACATAGTATGCCTGTATCAAAATATCATCTGTACCCCATAAATATGTACAATGATTATATATCCATAATTAATTAAAATATAATAAAAATAGTAAGATTTTACTCTGAAAAACATCAAAAGATATTTGAATTTGGATACTCTTCTGGCCCCTCGAGTTTCAGAAAAAGGATTGTAAATCATCTATTTGTTCCTCAGTGTCTGAATACTTGGGGCATGAAGTCATGTTCTACCCTTTCTGACTTGTCTCTTCTGCATATGACAATATTCGTGTGTACATATCTGCATCCACACATGTGTACATATCTGCATCCACACATGTGTACATATCTGCATCCACACATGTGTACATATCTGCATCCACACATGGTGGAGGGTGGAGGTCAGGAGTAGCAGGGGTAGCCTGACCCCTAGCCTTAAGGTTAAGATGATCCAAGCAGCTAAGACAATTCCCTAACTATCCATTATCATTTTCAGGAACTTTCCTATGATTATAAGAACTTTTGAGTGTTGTACATAGCTGTAAGGTAAATAAAATACTAATTCTTATGTTTATTTTCAATAATAGGTCACCAGGAAAGTGCATCGCCACGGCCACCTCAGGATTCATCTCTTTCTGCCCCCCTGCCCAAACTGTGTGTTTTTGTTACTCCATCCCTTCTTTCAGCAACGTGCAGCCTCTTGGACAACCTCTTGGCGATTGCTCCCAGAGACACCGCAAAGGCTTTTCGACAAGCTCATCTCATAGAACTTCTCTGTAGGTAAGAGATTAAATACTCCTAGAGAGGCATGTTAGTAGAGAGAAATTTACACAAGCTGGATTCATGACTTAATATAAGATTTCACGTGACCTGGGAATACAGCTTTATTCTTTTTTAGGCTCATTGAACTCCAGGAGTTTGCTTTTGCCAGAATTGTCTTGATAGTTTTTATTTTACATCTATTAAAGCACTTGTATTCGTTTGTTATCTTGACTATTAAGGCCAAAGAAAAACTCTTGCTTTCTAAAATTCATGGATTCTAAACCTTATTTATCCCCCAGCACACTTAAGGAATATGGTGCTATCCCCTATTCTTAATGGATGTGAGGGAGTTTGGGAATTCATCTTTTTAGTGGTCATATAAGAATAATGTCCCTGGGTTGAAAAATTATTGGTTAAATTCATTTGGAGTTATTTTGTTGTGGGAAATTAAACTTTTCATCAGAAAGTATTCTGATAAAATTTAGGGAAATTAAATTCAAAGAAAAATTCTTTGAATTTTTATTACTCACTTATTTGATATTAATCAGTCTGTAACATATTTTTTCTGAATTTCTAATAAAGTATAGTAGAAAAGGACTAGATATTGAATTCAGGCTGACCTAAGATCTAATTGTAGTTCATTCACTCAGTAGCTTGCAGCCTTGGGAAATTAATCTCTACTGTGTCATTAACACCTATTTAATGGGGTTAGTGTGAGAATTAAAAGTGATGGTATCTAGGATACCCCCTTATCTACTAGTAAATGTTACTTCTCTTTTCTTCTGGTGTCCAGTTTATTCTAGCCAACCATACCCACCTCCTTTCGACCGCATGTTTATTTGCATTTCTCTGTCTCTCTGTCTCTTTACCTTGGAACATTCACCATCTGAAATGTTTTCTGTCTTTTTGCCAAATCATAGTGCCTTCTCTTTGTTTTGGGGATATTAAAAGAATTCTAAAAAATATAAACTCTAAAAGAAATATTCCTTGTTTCACCTCATTCAATTGTAATTATTCCTTTACCATGTATGATATGCAATGACTTTGTTCTGGCTTTGATATTTATTGGTCATATTTCTACTGTGCCTACTCAGATTGGAAAAGTAACTGCTAGTCAGTTGGCTTTCCTTCCTGGATGCTCCTGCCTGAAGATGACCAAAATAGAGCTCTAGGGATAGGATATTCTTTGCTTCTTATGAGTCAGCTAAGAGCCTGATGTGGCATTGAGGCCACAGGGGCATTAAAAGACCTTTTATGACAAAGGCTTATATTTCCATACCTGTTTTTCATTTTTGACTTAAAAAAAATCCTACCTGTTTTACTTTATTTTTGTTATTATTATTTTTATTTTTTTGACACGGAGTTTCACTCTTGTTGCCTAGGCTGGAGTGCAATGGCATGATCTTGGCTCACTGCAACCTCCGCCTTCTGGGTTCAAGCGATTCTCCTCTCTCAGCCTCCTGAGTAGCTGGGATTACAGGCATCCGCCACTACACCTGGCTAATTTTTGGTATTTTTAGTAGAGACGGGGTTTCACCATGTTTACCAGGCTGGTCTCGAACTCCTGACCCCAGGTGATCCGCCCGCCTTGGCCTCCCAAAGTGTTGGGATTACAGGTGCGAGCCACCGCGCCTGGCCTGTTTTACTTTATTTTGTTTTTGTTACTTTCTAAATATGAACAGTGGTTTTGCTATTTTAGCCAGTATTTTTGCTATTAGGAAAGTAACCACCAAGGTTCCTGTTACTCATTTGCTTTCTTCCTGAATGGGCCGTATTATATTTTATTCTGCTTTTAATTAGGTTTCTTTAGATATTTTCTTCACAACTCTTTGCTTCTCACTTTTCTCTGACAAGATATTTTCCTGTTTGAAGGTAACCCAGGTTACAATTTGAAATTCTTCTTATTTTTATAAACATTTTCTTTACTTATAAAGATCCTTTCTCTTGAATTGTATTTGAGTTACCTTTAAACTTCAAATTCTGATTTCTTAATCGTTAATAAAAAGTATACTAATCTTCTGAAGGATTTTCTTTTTCCGATTGTCACAGCATTGCAGATGCTACCCTCATACAGACATGTGTCCAGGAACTCAGAGCCCTGCTGCCTTCATCACCTCCAGCTGAACACACTCAGGCTCAGGTAAGCATCTCAAGTCTGTTTGTGGGTTTGTTTATGTTAGGTGTCAAAAGTAAAAATCTTGTGAGGAGATACTAGTCATGGGAGAAGGATGAAAACTTCTCAAAATATACATGGTATGATGAGATTATTTGAAATTTTAATACGGGACATGTTTGGATGTTAGAAAAGAGAGGTGGGGTTTGAAGACTTGGATTCTATTCTTGACTCCATCATTAACCAGCTTTAAATGTATGATCAAGTGTCTGGATATCTTGGAGCACCACTTTAATAAAGAGGGACATTGGTATAGTTCACCTCCTGCTTCTGTGATTTTAGGCTATCTCTGTTATGTCTGTTATTTACACCAAAGTTAAAGTTGTTAAAATATTTGGTGGCTAAGTTATATGTGTTTTCAAAGCCCAATTTGATAAAAGTGATGTATTATTGTTCCTTCACAGATATTTACTGTTTTAAATTCTTGCCTATAGCTAGAATCTATTTATAAAACATGCTTAACAATTATTCATGTAGCTGTTGCTAACAAAAATTTTGTTTCAAAATCAAATTTTAAGAAGGGCTGCAAGATTTTTTGGGAGGTGATGAATTAAAGATGAAGTAGACCAGTATCTCTTGCTTTGAGATGTGTTCTTTGAACTGAATAAGACAGACCCCATTACAAAGTTTGGGAACGCTACACACATGGTCTTTGAAGCACTTGTCCTGGTGCAGTGTTTTCACCCGAGCATGCCTATTGCATAATGACTGTCTCCTCCATTTTTCTGCTCTCCATCCAGCAAATCTTTGTTGAGTACCTGCTGTGTGCCTGGATATTCTCCAAGTGAATAAAACAAAGACCCTTCCACAAGTTGGGAGAATAGATAATTAGAAAATCCATATATGCCTGATGATGATAGACATCTCAGAAGAAAAATTAAAGTGATGGCAGAGTTGGAAGGGTAGGGCCGTTCCGCTTAGGATGATTAGTCAGTGACGTGGGACCCAAAGTTAGTGAAGTTAGTCCTATGGTCATTGCAAGACCCCTGAGGTTGGGGTATGCTTGGCCTATCCAAGAAACAGCAAGGAGGGCAGAGTGGCTGGAGCAGAATCTATGAGGGCGAGATGAGACCAGAGGGGCACAGTCAGCTCCATGAAGTCAGGGCCTTGCTGGCTGTTACATTCCGTTGTGTTCTGAGTGTCTGGCGCAGGGCTTGTCTCAAAACAGCTACTCACTTGATCCTTGTGCGATGAGTGAATAATAGCAGTAGCAACAATTATGGGTATTTGTTTTTGTTAATTCATGTAATCTTCACAATAATCATGAAGTTTCGTTAATGTCATAAAGGAAATGCCTGAGGCCCAGAGAGGTGAGTGACTTGTTCAAGGTCTCTGACATAGATTCCAACCCATGCAGGTCAGTTCCAGGGCCTACATTCTTAACCACTGCACTAGCTAGGCTTATGTAGATTAAATGCTTTTGGGCTCTTGGTATTAATATAAGATCATTCACTCATTCCAGAAATTTCTTGAGCCTCTGCTTTACCAGATTCTGTTCTAGGTGCTAGTGATACCTCCTTGAACAAAGCAGACGAACATCTCTGCTCACGTAGAGTCTGTCATAAATGCAGGAGACAGTAAGCAAGTACATAAAATGTATTTTATCAGATAGTCACAAATGGTATGAAAAAAGTAATTGAGGATGGGTAAAAGCGGTGTGTCAGCAAGGGTGGCTATTTTTAGGTAGTGTGGTCGGAAAAGGTCTCCTAAAAGTGACACTTAAGCAGAAAGCTGGGGAGGTGAGGGCAGGCTGCGAGTGCCTGCAGCAGACGGCGTGGTCAGAGCCCTGGTGGCGCGTTATACTCTGCTAAAGGTATGATGTATTAAAGTTTGTGGTTGGTTGATTGGTATTTTTTTTTGAAGAGAGCCATACATAGAAAAAGAGTTACTTTATTAACTACTCTTAATACATTAATATTTTATTTAATCTTGAATGTGATCATATACAAAAGAATCTTTAGCAATTCAGCTTTTTCTCTATAACACTTCTTGCCTCACCTAGCATGGTTTATCTATTTATGGTAAGATTTCATACATCCAGAGGTCAGACTTGCTGTAATTTCAGTAGTGTAGAATATGAATGTAATATGAAGTCTCAAGACTTCACAGCAATAAACAAATTAAATTTCACAAACCGAAGAGTTTGTGTAGTCTAGAGCCACCTACATTTTTACATAAAGTAAGTTGGCAGATTAGATAAAGGGAGGATGCATTCATCAGGAGAAGTAGGACAGAACTATTTGTAAATAGTCTGAGACCGTTGACTTCAGAGACACATACTCCACAAATTTACAACAGGCCCTCGACTCTTCATTACCCTCTTACAACCCCAGAATAAGGTGAGAGGAAGAAGTGTGTGTGTGTGTGTGTGTGTGTGTGTGTGTGTGTGTATACAGAGAGAGAATGACTGATTTCAGAATATCTTTATAAAATTCGCTTATATGTAACTGGCTCATTGCTTGAGAGTAGTGGACAAATGAGACATCACAGCTCATTCTTTAATTGTTACATATTCAGAGGATTATTTTTCTGAAAAGTACTTTTGCCAGTTAATACTTAACAATATTAGCATCAGGCAAATTCCAGAGATGGTTTTGTTGGTAATATTGAAGATGATTTAATTTTTTCTCTTATAGTTAATAATAGTATTTTTATACTGAGGGCAAAAATAGAACATATTTGCATTTTATTTGTAGCAATAACTAGGCTATTAGGCTAGATAGCCCCCACCCCCACTTACCCGCTTTGAAGGGTATTTTTGTAATCTATCTTTCTTTACAAAATTATAGACTTTATGGCTTTGTTATACACTTTTCTACTTCTTCCAGAATATTGATTTCATAATTTGACTACTTGAGAAATATGGAGACTTTTTTTTTCTTTTGAAACAGAGTTTTGCTCTGTCACCCAGACTGGAGTTCGGTGGTGTGATCACAGCTCACTATAGCCTCTACCTTCTGGGCTCAAGTGGTCCTCCCATCTCAGCCTCCCAAGTAGCTGGGACTGCAGGCATGCACCACCATGCCCAGCTAATTTTTATATTTTTTGTGGAAACAGGATCTCGCCATGTTGCCCAGGCTGGTCTCAAACTCCTGGGCTCAAGCCATCTGCCCACCTTGGCCTCTCAAAGGACTGGCATTACAGTACGAATGTGTTGGCCACCACATCTGGTCAAGATTTTACTTTTTAAATGAAATTTAAAACTTGACTTGGAAAATATTGCTTGTTTGGTGTATAGTTGACAGTATTAATAGGGCTGTTAATGACATGCTTATGAGAAAAATAATGCTTTGTCTGCTATGTGTTAATTTCAGATCTTGAAAAATTATGATTAATATTTTATTTTTATTAACTTGTGTTCCAAAAGTAAAATACTGTATCACTGAGATGGGCTTTTTATATGGCATGTTTGATTTTACCCTATCTCCTTTTCAAATAGGTTTCCTTTCTCCTGGAATACCTATCCTCTTTGTCCAGGCTTCTGCAGTCATGTTTATTGGTGGAGCCTGACCTTGTGATTCAGGATGAGCTTATGAAACCTCTTATCACCAATATCATTGGAATTCTCACCATATGTACCAAAGATGTATTAGGTAAGCTTAATTGTTTTAATTTAGAATGTAAGTTAATAATATTGAGGAAAAAAACTTACTCTGTTCCGGAAATTCACTTGAAGGTTACTTTTCAGTTTCTTTTTGCTAGTATTTTGGAAGGCTTTGATAATATGTTTCATAGTTTGGATGTCTTTTAATGATACTACTTAAGACAAGTGTATAGTATAATAATGGACTACGCTTGAGTTTTAAGAAATGAGAGCAAAGCTCTCTATGTGATGTTGGAAAGTACAGTGAGTTCTGGGTATTAATTATTCTTATAGGGCGCGGTGGCTTACGCCTGTAATCCCGCACTTTGGGAGGCCGAGGCGGGCGGATCACGAGGTCAGGAGATCGAGACCATCCTGGCTAACACGGTGAAACCCCGTCTCTACTAAAAATGCAAAAAATTAGCCGGGCGAGGTGGCGGGCGCCTGTAGTCCCAGCTACTCGGGAGGCTGAGGCAGGAGAATGGCGTGAACCCGGGAGGCGGAGCTTGCAGCGAGCCGAGATCGCGCCATTGCACTCCAGCCTGGGCGACTAAGCGAGACTCTGTCTCAAAAAAAAAAAAAAAAAAAAAAAAAAAAAAAAATATTTTCTTATAAACTATGGCTAAGGCTAAAAACCTGATAAATCATTCCCAATAACAAGTATAAGCCAATCTAGAATATACCAAAAATTTTCTAAGGTCCTAAATTGTTGAAATGTGTATATATTTTATGATCTAATGTTATCTTCAGAGAAAATATTTTATGATGAAAAGTTGAATGTAATGCTTAGTGGAGAAAATTAAAGCAAAGTAGGATCTTTGTCAAAATCTAATATAATTGTTTTAAAAGTGGAAATAATCATTTATAATGAAGTAATTGACCATTTGGTAATTCTCTTTACCTTTCAGTTCGTTTTTATTTGAACTGTGGATTTACTTGGTTTTAGATCTGGAAAATGAAGTGTGTTATGATACCCAGCAGAGCCAGTTCTCAGCATCTCATCAGTGTTAAAATGATCTCGATGTTAAAGGAATAGTAATTCCTTACTTAGAAATTCAACAAGTGGCAGTGATATCCTAACTCAGCTTATTAGGTTAGACTGGACAAGCTCAGCAAGATGATATCACCCCCACTTCCTAAGGAGTGAAAATTGATTCTGGGGAGAACAGGGTGAGGCAAAAACATCTTAGAAATTACAATGGTTTGTAGCCTCCCAAAGCTCAACTCTACCTGAGACAATCTTATTACTTAGTATTTCTCTTCTTGATTTTTCTTGAGAATTCCTTGAGAAACATTGATGTTGAGTTCATGGAAGATACACAAGATGTTTGCAAGACTAGTGCCACAAAACTGTGGTGAATAGATGACAGCAGCTGGAGGACCTTTGGTTAATTGTTCGATCCCAAGGTCATGTAGCAAAAGGTGGTCTGTGTATCTTGGCTGCTATTGACTGCCTTGTGAATGCTTTTTATTGATCCTCTTGCCTTTCTGTATGATTTGGGCTTTGAAAATTAAATGGAAGTAGTATATATTTATTTAATTACATAAAAGTTGTTTAACCCATCATTAATTACATCAAGCACTGAAAGGAAAAAATATCAACAATGTCTGAATGTACATCTATTAGCTGGTTAAATTAAAAATTGTTTTCTCATATCTAGCAAAATACTTCAAAAGTTCACTAAAAATATTTTTTAAGAAGTTTTTAAATTTTTTTCTGGAAAAAATAACTTTTAAATGATTTTATAAGAGTTTATTATATTGCTATTATGTATTATGAATTGTTAATTTATGTATGTAAATTGATACATCGTGATATATAAATATAAATAAATTACATGAAAAGTTATTTAGCAAGTATAGGTACAAAGCTAAATTTGATGTTAATAGGTCTTTAATTTTTAACTTAATTTTCAGCTTAAATGTTTTATTCAGCTATTCTTAAGCCTGTATTGAATAAAAACAGTAAGCTCTATACTTAGCCTTTTTATGTACAAAGTACAGATGTACATATAGTACATAAAGAGATATACAGTATATCTGGGGAATTAAAACCTTATGGGGATGGCAATGAGGAAACATATTTCTAAAACAAATTCTTTAGGGAGCCACTAATGGCAAAAGGGTTGAAAAACACCAAGGATTGTCCTGGGAAGGTGCAATTTTCAAGTACCTCGTAGGAGCTTAGTACACCTAGATGGATGTTCTCTGGGTTAACGTCCTATAAAGTTTACATTATAGTGGAATTTGATAAAAGATGACAAATCCTCCTGATGGCATGGCCAGAGAGAGTCCTCGGTGACTGCTCTACAGCTTCCATTTACCTGAGTGCAGAGAAGGGAAAATGTGTCCTCATCCTAGAAGGTTAATTGCTACATCCTTAGCCATAGGAAGAGCTGCAGAATCTTCTTTTGTGTCGTGCTTTTCTTTGTGGGATGATACTTTTCTTGGTTCTTCAAAGAAATTCCTTCTTTTCTACTTGGACCTTGGCACACTGTGCTTTCCTTTCACCCCTGCACAAAGCTGCTGGAGGGGATAAAGGAAATAGGGGAAAACTTACTCTGACAAAAGTAGCACAAACAATGACATGTTTTGATAATGTGCCAATATGTAGTTCTGCAGTCATGGCTTAATATTCAGTTTGTCACACCTTCTGATTGTTCTTGAGTATGCTTTAATAAGAGCAGAGTTCGCGAGTGTGGCTTTATATGCAGGAGGGTGGAGGGGAGATATCTTAAGAAGCAATGGAAAAGAGAAGTTAATTGAAATAACTGTTGGATAATGCTGAATTAGATTTGTCTTCATTTGATAAGTACACACCCCTCATTTTAAGTGTAATGAAGTGTCTGTGTTAAGTTTCATATCTTGAAAGGTTCTTTTCCTTTGTGTTGATAACTTGAAGTGTTTTGATTAATTTTGTAGATAAAGAGTTAATATCAGCTTTTTATCACACATGGACACATTTATTTAATCTTCTGGCCACGCTCCTGAGGAAAGCTGGTGCCGTCACACTCCCGTCTATTACCGTGGCCCTGGCCAAGCACTGGACAGCAGTGATTGGTAAGAAGATACTTGCATAATCTTGGGGGCGTTCTGCTAATAAAATGAGATAATTATTCTGCTTGTTTAGATATGTAAATTCACTAAAATTAAGTAATTATGGCGTGCATATAAAAGAGATATCAGGGTGCTTGCTTTGAAAAATTTGCAGTGTTCTTGAGTGCCCCCAAAAAATGCATTTTTGAAAAATTGAAACGCAAGATAACATAAAAGTGAGTTAGAAAAGCCTGTGGTTTTATTATTTTTTTTATTTTTAAAGCTTTTTAAAGACATCATCCCTGAAGCTCTCTTTTATTGTATTGGCCACTCTTGGTTTTTTTAAATTTTACTTTTTGAGTTCTGGGATACATGTGCAGAATGTGCAGGTTTGTTACACAGGAATACATGTGCCATGGTGGTTTGCTGCACCTATCAACCCATCATCTAGATTTTAAGCCCCGCATGCATTAGGTATTTGTCCTAATGCTCTCCCTCCCCATGCTTCTCACCCCCTGACACGGTGTTTGATGTTCCCCTCCCTGTGTCCATGTGTTCTCATTGTTCATCTCTCACTTGTGAATGAGAATATGCAGTGTTTGGTTTTCTGTTCCTGTGTCAGTTTGCTGAGAATGATGGCTTCCAGCTTCATCCATGTATCTGAAAGGACATGAACTCATTCTTTTTTTATGGCTGCATGGTGTTCCATGGTGTATGTGTGCTGCATTTCCTTTATCCAGTCTGTCACTGAAGGGCGTTTGAGTTGGTTCCAAGTCTTTGCTATTGTGAACAGTGCCACAGTAAACATACATGTGCATTTGTCTTTATAGTAGGATGATTTATAAAACTTTGGGTATATACCCAGTAATGGGATTGCTGGGTCAAATGGTATTTCTGGTTCTAGATGCTTAAGGAATTGCCACATTGTCTTCCACAATGGTTGAACTAATTTATACTCCCACCAGCAGTGTAAAAGCTTTCCTGTGTTCTCCACATCCTCGCCAGCATCTGTTGTTTTCCTGACTTTTGAATAATCACCATTCTAACTGATGTGAGATGGTATCTCATTGTGGTTTTGATTTGCATTTATCTGATGACCAGTGATGATGGATTTTTTTTTTCATGTGTGTGTTGGCCACATAAATGTCATCTTTTGAGAAGTGTCTGTTCATATCCTTCGCCCACTTTTTGATGGGGTTGTTTGTTTTTTTCTTGTGAATTTGTTTAAGTTCTTGTGAATTTGTAGATTCTGGATGTTAGACCTTTGTCAGATGGATAGATTGCAAAAATGTTCTCCCATTGTGTAGGTTGCCTGTTCACTCTGATGATAGTTTGTTTTGCTGTGCAGAAGCTCTTTAGCTTAGATCCCATTTGTCAGTTTTAAGCCTGTGGTTTTATAAAGGTACGTATGATATGATTATAAAACAATGAGATAAATTTTCTTGTATTGGTATAGAAACCAGTATCATTTCTGACATATGTGCATTGTATGCAGATACATCTTCATATATAAAATCCCGTATACATGATAACATGGAAAGTTGTGATAACTTTCTCATGACATCAGAATTTTCTTAGAGTACAGAAATGCCAAGAGTATAGTATAATTATTTTTATGTTTTTCATATGATAGTTGCCCACTAAAATAAACATGGTTATCTTAAAATAACTAATCTTTAATTTTTCATGAAGCCTCCTAAATTTTAGCATAGCAAAAAGCTGTTTTTTAACATAAATATTTAACATAACTAACATTTATGTAACCTTTTTAAACAACCTGCTTAAATGTACTCAAAATTGAGTTATTTTAAGTTTCTAAAGTACCTGCTAATTCAACTGACTGATTTTTTTTTTAACATTTAACATTTGATCATTCGGTAAAGTTAAATGCATGATACAATTTTTAACCAAAGCGATAGTAAGAATTATGGCAAAATGCATGTTTAACAAGGAACAGAATTGTTAGTTTTCTGGATATAGGAGTTCTGAGTCTACCATGGAGTACAGTGTCCACACAGGATATCATTATTTTGTTTAAAATATAATAATTGAAAGAGATTGACTGATTAAGACGTTGGGATTTTCTTCTTGTATTTATTGAGGGAAAATTAGTTTATCACCTGAATCGCCAATATTATCAATAGAAAGCATGATGCTACCCACATTAGATAAATCTGGCCAGCAGCTTGTTTTGGTAAATAAAGTTTTATTGGAATATAGCCACACTCATTTACATATTTCATATGGCTGCTTTCATGCTACAACAGTTGAGGTGAATAGTTGTGAAAAAGCCAGTTTCCTGCGGAGTATAAAATACTTGCTAGTTGGCCCTTTACAGAAAAAGTTTGCTGACCTCTGACTTAAACTTTACCTGACACTGTTTCTCTAGTGATAAATACATATTAAATTCAAAACCTTTCTTCAAAATATGTGTACATTTTTATGTAATAGTAGTGCTAACCAAAAGTAACTTACTGCATAAATGGTTTTAATAATAGTAATGTTAATGAAAACATTAATAACAATTATTGATTTTTTTGCCATGGTTTTATTTTTGGTTTTTGTTTTTTTAATCAATTTCCATCTCATATGCCCATATACATTTAAAACATCTCGTGGTCGCCCCATAACTTGTGTTATCTGTAACAGTCTTTTCTCAGACTTGACTAATATTTGGACATCATTTAAATGAACATAATTCTTATGAAACCCCACTGCTACTTTATTTTTCTTATGTAACTTTAATTTGTACATGCCAAAATCTAAGCAAAAATTTTTGTGGTTATAATTCTCACACAAGCATAAATCTAAAATATAAAATCAAATAAAATTATAAATCCAATTTTTCAAGTTAATAAAATGTAAAACAACACATATTATTTTGATTAAACAACATCAGTGTTCACAATAGAAAATTAATAATGACTGTTTCAGTGTAAATTCCTTTTGAGTTTGGCCTGTTCTTTCTACTCTGTATTAAGTTTGTGAATCATCAGTTCATGACCACTCATGTGCTGTCTGAACTGTGAAATATTTGTTTGTACATTGTGCCAACACTGCATACTAAGTCTTGCTTTTAAGTTCTGTTTGGCATCAGCTCCTTTAAAAATTGCAACACAATCACGTAAGTTGGTAATCTAGATGATCCAGAGTATAGTTACTTTAAAATCAATTTGATTTCCTTCTTTGTTTAATTTTGAAGAAATTTTCAAACATTCACATCTGAAATTATCCTTTTAGATATGTTCTGCAAATGTGCAGGCTTGTCTGCCACGTGTCCTGCCCTGTATACTGCCAGCCTGCAATTCCTTTCTATTCTCTTGACTGAAGAAGCAAAAGGGCATCTCCAGGCTAAGAGCAAAACAAATTTATGCCATAGTCCAACAATGGCTTCACTTCTTGATGAGACTCAGGAAAATCAGAAATCTCTAGAACGACTTAGTGATGTAATTCTTCAGGTATGTCATTTCTTGGTTTTTCAGAAACTTTATTTAGCATTTAAATGAATTGACTTTCAGTCATGTTCTTGTTAAAAGCTTTCTCAGTCATTTAAATTAAGAAATAGTGATGCTTATTATGACTGTTTAAATGATACAAAAGTTTATCAAGTTAAATTAACTGTCTCCTCCTTAGCCCCACCTGCTTATGTTGACCAGTTTCTTCAGTGAGTATGATGTAAAAATTTGAAGTGAAATATTACTCATCTAAATCTAACAGTTGATCAAAACAGTGTTTCATATCATGACCAAAATGAATATATTTCAGGAACGCAGTTATAGTTCAAAATTTATTGCAATTTTAAAGATACGTCTGTGTCTGAAAATATATTCTAAGTGACATTTGTTTTCTATAAATGGACTACAGAATTTTGGGGTTGGTTACATGCATAGGTAAGTGGACTTGTCTGGCACATTTGGAAGAAAATGCCCCCTTTCCAAGCCCTGTTGCCTGTTTTATCTTATAAAATTATGTTTACGGTCTAAACTGTGAATCAGGAATTTGACTCATCAGAAAACATTCTAAAATCACTAAAGTATTATTTTATGAGTAGATTAGTAATTTTTTAAAAACTGTGTGTTTTTTGACAAAGTTTGTGTATTTAGACAAAAAACTGTGTGTTTTAAACAAAGTTTACATTGTTTTTTACAAATAGGAATATTTTCAGTTTTTCAGTGTTTAAAATTATTCTTTTTAATCATATGGTTTTATGATTTTTGTCTTCTCACTGAAAGGTGGAAAAGTAGTAGAATTGTTTATTGAAGAATTTGCTTCAGCTTCCCAATCAGCCAGCCACATTTGGCAAAGAGAAGATTGTTTCTGTGCTGATTTGTTATAGTTCCTTTGTTGCTTAGAAGATTGTTCCTGTGCTGATTTGTTATAGTCCCTTTGTTGCTTAGAATTTGGAGATTTTCACCCACTTCTTTGCCTGTGAGAGTCATAGTATGCAGATATTTCTGGTATGACTGCTTGTGCATTTTGGGCACTAGGCTTGATTATGTTGAGATGCAGAAAGGATTGCCCGTAAGAGAGGAGAAGATGCTTCCTGATCCACCCAGGAGCTGGCCTGTGGAGAGTGTCACAGGTTCCTCGGGGACTTTGTCTCTCTTGTGCTCCAGAATCTGGTTGCCTTTCCAGCATAGATAAGAAGCCTGTTAAGGCATCCCCCATTTTCTCATCCATCTCCAGCAGCACCTTCAGAAGCCTGGATAGAGCTTTAGGGGAGAAGGTTCCTCAGAGCCTTTCTCTAAAAGCCTCTTATTCTTGGGAGGCCATAGCTTTCCCGTACCTACTACCTCACTGTCAGTTCACTCAAATTTTCTTAGTTGAAAACAAAAACTGGACATTGTCCCAGTTTTCTCATTCCCCGTCAGAACAACAGACTTTATTTCCCAATGATTAACTGAGTCTCCAGTTTTGCACTTTAAAGAATGTTGTAAGGAGGAAAATTCAAACCTTTTCAAAAGTCTCCCAACCACAACCCCTATCTAATTTAATTATAAATTTCCTAACTTTGGCTTTGGTTGGAGCACTGTACTGCTTGGGGAAAGGCTTTTGCTCTTGCTGACACACTTCTGATCAGAGAATTTCAGTGACTTTACTCAGAGGAGAGTGGGGTGAGGGCAGTGTGCTGGGCCCCACCCTTCTTGCTGAGGCCAAAATGGCAATAGCTCTGGGAGCCTGGCTCTGCATGGATGACTGTGGGTGTCCTGCAACCAATCCTCCTGGACCTGGTGAAATTTAAAGACTTCCAGCCAGGCAAAGCCAGGGCTATTTTATTTCCCAACTCTTTAATCTTGTTTGTGGTGCTGTGTTTGAAGGATCCGTGATGAGACTCATGATACATATGGATCCATGTAGCGTAATGAATCAGTTTATAATAGTATACACAGGAAAAAAAAAATCTGTGCTAGAGGAATTTGTGCAATTTACCTTGCCCTTATTTTTAGCTAATACTTTGTAATATTATTCATTATAAAAGCTTTTGTTTATAATTTTTTATGTTACCTTTTTGGACAAAGAAAATGAGATAGCCTACAGTCACAGAATATCTCAACGATTTTCCTAATGACTAGCTAATTTTCCTCTTTATTTCTTCTAAATTACAAAAAATGTGTTTCGTGAGAGTATGGGTATATTAACCAATTATTTAAACCACGTTTCCTAATAAATCATACTTCTTGTGTTCATGTAAGCAGTAGAATTTGGATACATGACATCTGTTAGAAAGGCACAGACAAGTTTAAGACAAAGTGAAGAGAGAAAGTATACTTCTGGCACACTTTTGACAAAATGTGTAATTAATGTAAGTCGGGACAGTTAATGGGCCTGTTAAATTACAAATACTGTTTTCTTTGCCCTATAGAAATAGGGTATGTGAATTAAAGTATTATTAGAATACACTCAACAGCAAAACGTTTTGATAAGTAATAAATATAGCTTACTATATGTCCATGGAGGCTGTGGGTTAGGCCGAGTGCTATATGAAGCAAAGTAAACTATAGTCTTTAAATTATCCAAAGAAATTATATTCTAAAATTGATGTCTTTCAAAGGTCCTTATTTAAGTTTTCTGTAAAGCCATACTCAAGAAACATTTGATGTGGGATGTTAGGCAGATCACTTCTTGTGATTCAGTTCTTCAAGTACAAAATGATAGGATTTTATTACATTATTACTAAGTTTCAGCTGCCTCTAAAATCTCCATCCTCCTAACAAATATTGTTAGTTCCAAATATTGGAACTTCAATTAAAATGTCTGGGCAGAGTTATCTTTTAAATGGTGCTTTATAGCACTGTCCCATAGGGGATACATGTTGAAAGTATTCATACTTACATCTTCAGTCATGTGTAAGTGTTTTTTTGTAAGTCCATGTTGAGGTGGTTTCAGACTTTGAACATTTTCTAAGAAATATTTAGCTGTCTTTTCTCCATAAAATACTGAACACATTTGACTTAGTGGAGATTTTACCTTCCCTAGTTTATGAAGATACAGTAGTCTCCTCTTATCTGTAGTTTTGCCTTTTGTGACTTCAGTTACCCATGGTTGATTGTAGTCCAAAAATATTAAATGCAAAATTTCAGAAATACACAATTCTTAAGTTTTAAATTGCATGCCATTCTGAGTAGTATGATGAAATATTGCTCTGTCTCCCCCGCGGGATGTGAATCATCCTATGTCTAGCTTACCCACGCTGCATATGATACGTGCCCATTCATCACTTAGTATAGCCATCTTGGTTATCAGACTGACAAATCACAAGATGAAGAAGGATGAGTGCATTGTAGTAAGATATTTTGAGAGAGAGAGGCCACAATCACGTAATTTTTATTATACTATTCTGTGTTATTGTTTGTTATTGCTAATCTCCTACCTGCCTAATTTATAAATTAAACTTTATTGTAGTTACATATGTATAGGAATAAAACTTAGACTATATGGAGTTGGGTACTATTCATGATTTTAGGTATCCACTGGGGGGGTGTTGGAATGGATCCCCCAAGGATAAGGGGGCCTACTGTGCTCAGTATGTTTTATTTGCAAATACATAATAGATAACAAGATCAATAAAAATCTCTCTATATGTAGTAGATTTTGTCTATAATTGATATATTAATTGAGATGTTGAATTAATTTTGCTCCTTATATTTGATCTGATATCTAAAAGTCGTAATGCAAATGAGGAACTCTTGCGTCTTGTTTTAGATGTATTTTGTGCTCACATGTAGTGAATGGTGAAATTCAAGGGTAAATCTGTTGAAGGGAAGGCTTATATATTTAAGATACCGTTGTGTTGATGAATGTTCACTGTAATTAAAAAGCCTATTTTTACATTAAGTACCTTTTGGAAAGAAAGCAAAAAAGTCTTGACCTAGAATAGCCTCCGTCACTTAAGTGTACAGAAGGGATTAATCTAGAAAGAGCATGACATTTAGAGGAATTTTGGTTGATGAGAAGACATTATTTCTTGCTCTGTATCTTCTTGATTTTTCTCTTTTTTGTGTATTTGCATCATCTGGCAGCTAGTTATCTGTTGCTTGAGTTTATTCTCAGCCTTGCTGCCTCCAGGCTCCTCACACGTCCAGTCGTGTCCACTTGCTGTGTCGCAGAGATGCTCAGGCTGCTTTTCAGTCTGCAGTAAGTACTGTATGGAAACTGATAGAAAGTCTGTCCTTCACTCCAGCCTTTCCTTCAGTATATGTTGGAAAGTATATGAATTGACCATAGGTTAATCCTGTTTGTTTCCTTTTTGTTTGTTTGTTTGTTTTTGGGTTGGGGCTTTGATTTCAGTTTTACCGTGTACACATTTTAGAGAACCAAACAGTTCTATCTGTAAGTTTTTACTAAAGGTAGGAGATTTTTGCCTTCATTCCTCATTTTCTCAGAGGTGACCACTTATACCTCATTTAGCTACTTTTTATAGCTTCTCTTTCGTGTCTCTAAATAACATGCTTATATTTTTTTATCTTGATTATTCAGTTTTAGATATTATCTGTTGAATTCCTACTATGGAAAATGAGACTTTAGCTTTTTTTTCATGCCCCATCCACCTACCCTACCAAAATGGGTTCCCTTCTCATTCTCCTAATATTAATATACCATAATGCCAATTAGATAATAGGCAGCATGAATGGTATTAAATTTGTGACAGTGTTACACACAATTGAACCGTGTTGCAGACAGTGTTTAACTTTCTTTTCTTGAACAGCTTTTGTTTCCCTTAGAGGTAATTATTGCATTATTTTAAAAAGTGCTGACTTTTATCACTTATAAACTCCATGCTCTTTGCTAGAATTAAATATCCTCTCGGTGTGTTCAGAATTGTCAGAACTTCATCGCTTCATCTTTTGAAATAAATCTCTTCCCAATTCCTTCTGACCTACTTGGTGCCTGTTGTCATCCTGGGGTATCCATTCACCTGTTTCTGGGAATTCCTTTACCTCTGTGCGAGGTGCAGTCT